ATCGTCGTCGTCGACGTTGTGGTCGTCATCGTCGTCGTCGTCGTCGACGTCATCGTCGTTGTCGTCGTCGTCGTCGTCGGGGTATACTGACTCTAACACAAAACTTGAGACAAGACCGCAAATGATTCAACATAACACAAAACAACCAAGACCACATGACATTTTTGAAACTTGCGACTGAAGGATCGCCAACGGACTGTACTCTCCATTGCCAGCCTTTATACACTTACAAGCCCTGTGGTAAGCCGTGAAGAAATCTCAAGCTTGAGCCTGACAGCCTTGTATAGTATTATACCCTGAAGATCGTGGATCCCTGCACCACGGTGGCGGGATAGGCCGCGAGCCCTAGATATCCTGAGGCACGATAGGCCGAAAGCAAGTACATAGCCGGTGGCGGGACAGGCCGAAAGTCATGTAGATAGCCTGGAGCTCTTGAATACCTGCAAGCCCTCTCATGACACTTTACCCCTGCAAGGGTTCGGAAGGCCTGAGTCCTGCTGAACTTTTTCTCAGTTTTTTTCAGAAGACAAGGCGGGTGCAATTCAGCCAACGCGTTGCGCAACGCTCGACGCGTCTACTACGCGCGAGCGCGGCAGACGAAGCATCGGAAGTTCGACTTCCAGGCCTCGCCAGGGTCCGATCGTAATCCAATGGAAAAATGGCGGGCCCCCTCACCCCCTTGGCAGGGGGGGGGTCAGGGTTCAAATTCTGTGTGCTTTGTTGTTGTGTGTGTATGATTTGTGAGTGTTTCTGTTTTGAATGTGTGTGTATGTGTGTGGCGGGGAGTGAGTGCCCTAATTTCGCAATGTGGCCGGATCGCGCCAATAAAAGCTCGAGAGCGGCGCGTCTCTGGGGCATCCCGCGGCGGCCGCCGTGCCTGCATGTCCCCGAGCGTTAGCCGCAACGAGGACCTGCTGCCACGAAAGCGGGGCCAATGGAGGAAGGTGCGACATGCATCGCAACAAACAAGCGGCGAGCCCGTAGGCGTGATGGGCGATGTGCACTACTTGCGCAACGCAGCCGCATCGTGCCAAAAGCACGATGGGCGCGTGCGTTCCGCTCGCCGTCGGCGTCACCATTGACGTCGTAGTCGTCGTTGTCTCGACGTCGTCGTCGTCCTGTCGTCGTCGTCGTCGTCGTAGTGGGCTGAGCTACGCTCACTGCCCTCGCGGTGTAAGCCTCGCCATCACGTTCCAGGCAATGCGGAGCGAAGTGCAGCGCGCCGACCGCGCCGTCGAAGCTAAAGGTGGTGCGAGAATGCCGACGACCGACATTCTCCACGCTCGCTCCCAGGAGCCCCCGTGGCTAGCAAGGGTACAAGAGCGTACGGGCGCTTCTCCATGCCAGCCGCAGGAATGTTGCTGGTAGGCGGAAACGATTAATGGTGGGCGGAGCTAAGCTCACAGCCACACTGCAATACTGTGAGCCAGAATGGCAACAACGACGACGCTGGTCGGGAGAGACCGCTGGACTCGACGACGGACGCCCTCTGCCTTGCCTCCCAACTCCTTCACTCCCTCCTCCTCCTTTGACTCGTCCTCCTCCGGCTCCCCCACAAGGAGGCTGTGCAAGGAGGCAGAAGGAAATAGGAGCAGAGGGTATATGCGAAGGCAGGCAGACACACGCCTGCACCAAACGACTGTCGGCATGCTTCGCTGGGATTGCTGTTCGGAGAAAGTACTACTAGTACGACTACTACTACTAATACTACTACTACTACTACTACTACTACTACTACTACTACTACTACTACTACTACTACTACTACTACGACTACTACTACTACTGCTACTACTACTGCTGCTACTACTAGTACTACTACTACTGCTACGACTGCTACTACTGCTAGTACTACTACTACTAGCACTACCAATTCTACTGCGACGGCTACTTATACTGCTACTGTTACTGCTAGTGTCACTGCTACTGCTACTGCTACTATTACAACTACTACTGCTACTGCTACTACCACTACTACGATTACTACTAATACTACTTCATCTGCTACCAGAACTAGTACTAGTAGTAGTAGTAGTACTACTACTACTACTACTATTACTACGACTCCTACTACGAGGGGCCCGAACGACTCGCACGCGGACGAGGTGCCCGAACGCCTCACACCACGAGAAGCCCGAACGACTCACCCCAGGACGAGGGGCCCGAACGACTCACACCACGAAGAGCCCGAACGACTCACACCAGGACGAGGGGCCCGAACGACTCACACCAGGACGAGACGCCTGAACGACTCACACCACGAGGAGCCCGAACGACTCACACCACGAGGAGCCCGAACGACTCACACCAGGAGGATGGGCCCGAACGACTCACACCAAGACGAAGGGCCCGAACAACTCACACCACGAGAAGCCCGAACGACTCACACCAGGACGAAGAGCCCGAACGACTCACACCACGAAGAGCACGAACGACTCACACCAGGAAGAAGGGCCCGAAAGACTCAAACCAGGACGAGAGGCCCGAACGAATCGAACCACGAGAAGCCCCAACGACTCACACCTGGACGAGGGGCCCGAACGACTCACACAACGAGGAGCCCGAACGACTCACACCAGGAATAGGGTCCCGAAGGACTCACACATGGACGACGGGGCCGAAGGACTCACACCACGAGGGCCCCCAACGACTCCCACCAGTCGTCGTCGTCGTCGTCGTCGTCGTCGTCGTCGTCGACGTCGTCGTCGTCGTCGTCGTCGCCGCCGCCTTCGTCGTCGTCGTCGTCGTCGTCGTCGTCGTCGTCGTCGTCGTCGCGGTTGTGGTCGTCGTCGTCGTTGCGGTCGATATCGTCGTCGTCGTCGGGTGCGTCGTCGTTGTTCAGATCATCGCTGTAGTCGTCCTCTCCGCTAAGTCCCTCTTGCCTCCCACCGCTTCCTCTCCCTCCTCCTCCGCCTCGTCCTTCTCCCGCTCCCCCCACAAGGAGGATGTACAAGGAGGCGGGAGGAAGGAGGAACAGGGGAGATATGCGGGGGCAAGCGGACACACGCCTGAAAAACACGACTGTCGGCATGCTTCGCCAGAGTTGCTGTTGTGAGATGGGCTGGTGGGGGTACGCGAAGCGTAAAGAATTTCCTCTGGAAAACGGGGGAAAAGTATACACCACACCACCCCGACGTCGTCCCCGACCCTCAGAAAAGTCATGGGATTGAAACAAACCCGCCACTGGTAATGCATACAGTTTGCGACCAGAGGCCTCCAAGACGGCCCAAGAGGCCTCCAGGAGGTCCTCCAGGAGGGCCCGATTGTTTTTCCGTTTGTTTTTGAAGGATTTTGGCATTCGCTTCTTCTCGGCTTTCCGACGACCCAAGACGGCCCAAGAGGCCCCCAAGATCGCCCCCGCAGCGCCCACGAGGCCTCCAAGATGGCCTCAGGATTGCCCAAGAGGCCCCCAAGACGGCCCCAAGAGGGCACAACAACAACCCAAGAGGCCTCCAAGACACCCAAGATAGCCTCTAAGACGGCCCTGGAGCACCCCAAGAGGGCCCCAAGCCGGCCCAGAAAGGCCCCCCAAACGGCTTCCGACGGCGTCAGACGGGCCAGGAGCCCATCAAGATGGCCGAAGTTGGCTCGAAGCTGGCCCAAGATGGCCCAAGAGGCCTCCAAGAGGGCCTCCAGGAAGGCCAGAAAGGGCCCAAAACACTGATGTTCCCTAGGTGTTGGACGGATCTTGACATTTGCTTCGTTTCGGCCGTCCGGCGGCCCGATACGGCCCACGAGCCCCCAAAGATCGCGCAAAGATCGCCCAAGATGCCTCTAAGATGGCCCCAGAACGGCCCAAGAGGCCCCCAAGACGGCCCCAAGAGGCCCCCAAAGACTGCCCAAGAGGCTTTTAAGACGCCCAAGATGGTCTCCAAGACAGCCCTGGAGCATTCCAAGAGGGCCCCAAATCGGCTCAGAGAGGCCCCCCAAACGGCTTCCGACGGGGTCGGACGGGCCAGGGGCCCACCAAGACGGCCGAAGATGGCACTAAGATTGCCCAAGACGGCCCAGGAGGCCTCCAAGAGAGTCTCCAGGAAGGCCCGAAAAGGCCAAAATCATTGATCGCCCATGAGTTGTTGAAGGATTGTGGCATTTCCTTGATTTTGGCTTCCGACGGCCCGAGACGGCCCAAGTGCCCCCAAAGATCGCCCAAGAGGCCCAGGACGGCCCCAAGAGGCCCCCAAGACGGCCCAAGAGGCCTCCAAGACGCTCACAATATGGCATCCAAGACGGCCCAAGAGCCCTCCAAGAGGTCCTCCAAGAAGGCCCGAAAAGGTCAAAATGGCCTCCATACGGTCAAGATGACCTTCAAGATGCCCACGTGTTCCCGGAAGGCTTACCAAACCGATTCGGGGAACACATGGTCCGATAGATTGGCAGGTCTGGCCTCAACGTTCGGACACCTAGGCGCTTCCAAGAAGGCAGGGGGCGGCGGTGATTCGCCGTAGGCGTCTTCGATCCGCCGCCCCCTGTTGATTCATCGCAGGGGTGCCTGGCGTGCTGAATCCTCTCGTTTTTGGTGTTGGTTCTTTTTCCCCAAAAACTCCCCCTGGGGCTTCGGCCCGTCGGCCTCCAAGATGGTCCAAGATGGCCTCCAAGTTCGCCCAAGATGGTCCAAGACGGCCTCCAAGACGGCCCAAGAGAGTCCAAGACGGCCCAAGAGGCCCTCCAGAGGCCTCCAAGACGGCCCAAGAGGCCTCCAAGAGGTCCTCCAGGAGGGCCCGAAGAGGCCAAAATCATTGATGTTATGTTTGTGTTTGAAGGATGTTGGCATTCGCTTCTTCTCGGCTTTCTGACGATCCAAGACGGCCCAAGAGGCCCCAAAGATCGCTCCCGCAGCGCCAAAGAGGCCTCCAAGATGGCCTCAGGACTGCCCAAGAGGCCCCCAAGACGGCATCCTTGACTCTGCACCCCAGTGTCCTCCCGAATCCTGCGAGTGATTGACAAGTCAACAGCGCTCAAAACACGCGGTGGCAAAAGACAGGGGCGAGCAATGCTGCCATTCTGCGCCATCTGGTGCCGCATGTACGTCGGCACCTCAGCGCCACCACCCCTTCTCCCGATGATGTATCTGCCCAGGCGAGGCCAGACGCGTGCCCACCCGACAACGGCGTCATCGCTGTGCCCACCCTGATGCGACCACTAAACTATTCATGGCACTGCTTTGCATGAGAAACAAAACTCCGCGAACCATTATTCATCGTCCTCGCTGTTCTCTGGACAATGATGACGAAGCTCATGAGTACCTTCTCTTCGTTCTGCCTCCCCCTCTCCCCTCCTCGCTATCGTTCCTCGCTCTCCCGTTTCCTGTCCTGCACCTCGTCGTTGCACGTCCCCTCTCCTTCGAGAGACAGGAGAGAGGGAACGAGGGAGGGGAGGGAAGGGCAGGAGGAGACGGGGGAAAGGGAGAAGCGGGAGGGGGGGGGAGAGAGAGAGGAGGGGGGGCGCCGGGGGAGGTCCGGGCAGACAGAGGGAGGGGGGGGGGGGAGAGAAAGGGATGCAGAAGGAGAGAGAGGGGGGGAGGGAAGACAAGAGGCTGGGCGGGGGCAGACTGCAGCTGCGCGCCGACGACGCGCCCGCCGACCTCGGCCGCCTCCTCCTGCAGCGGCCGACGCCTGGCCACGGCCACGCCCGCAATCTAAATCAACAAATATATTAGATGGTTTTAAATCTCTATGAATATTAATATTAATTTAAAAATATTTAATAAAAAAAAAAAGAATTATATTAATTTAGAAATCATTAATTTTATTAAAAAAATTGTAAGCGGCCGCGGCACCGCCCCGCCCGCAGGCCCGCGCGCGAGCAGCGCGCGCCCCGCAGCTCGCGGAGGGCGCGGCGCCATCGGCGCCACGCGGCGCGAGGCCGCGAGGCCGCGAGGCCGCGCCCGCCGCGGCCAGGGGGGGGGGGTCCCACTCGGCAGGTCGGCGGGAGGAGGAGGAGGAGGAGGAGGAGGAGGAGGAGGAGGAGGAGGAGGAGGAGGAGGAGGGAGGAGGGAGGAGGGAGGAGGAGGAGGAGGAGCGGCGCCCCGAGCCGCAGGTCCTGCAGGAGGTACAGCAGCTAACGGGCGAAGGACAGTGCAGCATAAACGTGGTCGCCGTCGGGGGCGTTTGTGCCGGAGCGGCTGGAAAGTGCATGCCCCTTCCGTGGCACGTCAGGGTATAACCTGTCCAGCAGCACTGGGACAGATGTCCCACACGGCGAACAAACTCATGTCATGCTGTTCTTCGCCCGCTCGAACAAGATCAACTCCTCGCTGGAACGCGCGCCCCGCCAGCGCGGCGTCCGAGGCAGCGCACCCGCGAGAAAGCCCGCGAGGAAGCCCTCGCGGCTGCGGTGCCGCAGGAGCCGCCGGAAGAGCCGGCACGTCTCCTCGCTCAGGTAGGCCACGGGCCAGCAGTCGCGGCGGCGCCTGTACTCTCGGTGCGAGTTCCCAACGGAGGCGGAGATGCCTCTCCGAAAGGAACACTGCCAAGGGGGAGAATCCCGCGTTTCATCTGCAGTCCCCCGCACCACCCGTCGTGCTGGTGGCATTCCAGCACCGTGAGATCGGCCTTCGCGCCCTGGTCCCAGTGGGGGCATCCGAGTCGTCGAAGGCGGGGCGGCGACTCCCCCGTCTTGGGACGCATGACACGAAGGTACTATGACCCCGCTGGGAGGCGCACGTCGGAACCGAGCATATAGCACACACATATGTACTGGTATGTTGTGTTATATTATCGCGCTGCCCGAGCCCGAGCGGTATAACCAGAAAGCGCCGCCAGCGAGCCCAGACTACTACCGCGTGGATGAGCAGTGGCAAGCTGCCTGCTTGATACAAATCCCTGTCCGTAAGATTTGCGTGTTCGGTGGAAGGCGAGTGGCGACAGCGGCAGTTGGCCTTCGGGGCGGCCCTCGTCGCCACGGCCGGACGCAGCTCGGAAAACTGCGTCTTGACCCCAGGAAGGGTCCCAGTGCCGATTTTGAGTTGCCGTGGTCTCACCTCGCCTTGCTCCAACAAAAGCAAGGTCGGTGCCAACGCCTTTCGCGAATGGTGATTATCACGTGAGGCCGCGCACGGCATGCCCCGATGGGCGCGGGCGGGGTCCCCAGCGGAGCGCGCACGACTCCAGTGCTCGCGTTGCTGATCCTGGTGCCGCTCGCAGGGATCCCCCTTAGCTCCTGAGGGCACACCCCCGATCCCTGACGTTGTGATCGCCTGGGCGTTTCTTCATTTTGGGGTTAAGTCGCGCATTCCCTTCGACAGGACGAATATTCAAAAAAGTAAAAATAATAAAACAATTTTTCAGAGACGATTTGTGTTACTACTTTTGACAATTGTTGGGTATGTTTTGGCGAATTCCTTTTCCAAAATCCGCCTGTAGGGGGACATGCCCGACCTGATCTTGGGGATGACGGAACCTAGGCCTCCCAGATGGGGTCGGAGTAGGACGGGTCGGAGGATGGCGCCGCATCGCCGATGCATCGCCGATGCGGCTCGATGTGGAGCTCGATTTGCTTCGCGTCGGCGACGCCGATGCATCGCCGACGTCGACGATGCACCGCCGATGCATCGAGATGTATCGGCGATGCGGCGCGATCTTCTGGCCACATCCGTTCCGACCCCATCTAGGAGGCCTCTAAAGAATGAGCTCGACACCGCTGCGCTTCGGCAGCTTGTGGTCGTGGCGGCCCTGGTATAACCCAGTACTGCGCCCTCTTTGCGAGAACCACGGCGTGGACGTCGAGGCCCTGCGGCTGTTGCCTGTGTGGCGGTGAGCCGCCCTTGGGCGGCCTCGCAGACGGCCGCCGCGTCTGCGTGACTGGCTACTCCATTGGAAGAGGGGGAAGCGGCACCCAAACATGATCGCGTCGTTCAAAAATCAGGACGGCGCGCTTTTCATAATTATCCGCCCTTGGGACCCCTCGCTGGGCCCCGGGACGGTCAAACAGCGACTCGGGTCAAACAGCCCTGGAATCATTTTCTCTGAGGTCTCTTGGAGCCATCTCGGGGCTCTCTGAGGGTCCTCGCGGAGCCTCTTGGGGCAGCCCTTGCGGGGCTGGCTTGGGGCTTTCTTGAGGCCCTCTCAAGGATCTTTGGGGGGATCTGGGAGGCCTCTTGGGACCGTCAGGCCCTCTGGCTCAAAAAGAAGAGGGTGAACCAGTCAGGCCCCCTCCTCGGTGGCTCAAACATGATTTCTTGAGGCCCTCTTGGGGCGCTCTTGGGGCGCTCAGGGGCGATCTTGGGGCCCTCTTGGTGCCGTCTTGGGGCCCTGTTGGGGCTCTCTTGGACCGTCTTGGGGCCATCTTGAGGCCTCCAGAGACAATTAGAAGCGAAAAGGCGAGAAGGCACACCACATTGATGTCCGTAGGTTTTTGTTTGAAGGAGTTTGGCCACTTGGGGGGGTCCTTGGAGGGCTCGGAGGGCGCTTGAAACCGTTTTAGGGCCATCGTAGGGCATCTTGCATGTGTGTCAGAGGCTACATCGAACCATCTTGAGGTATCTTGAGCCATCTTGGAGGCCGTCTTGGGCTCTCTGAGGTCCTCTTGCAGCCGCTACCTTGGGCCATCTTTGGCGCTCTAACTACCCGCGCTCCCGCCCCCCTCCCAGGCCCAGGGGAGACGGTAGCGGAAGGGGGTGAATCCTTCCCCCGAGCAGGGAAGGAGGGAGTTAGTCCCTTTACCACCTGCGCCCAGAGGGCAGGTGGGATTTTCGGAGTTTCGCGTGGATCTCTCAGATCGGCGTTGGGACTGCATGGCGGCGCCTCCAGCGCCGCCCCTGGCTCGCTCCGCGCGCCAAGGAGGGAGAGGGGCCCAGCGCAGATCCAAGACATCCGCGCGGACCTCCGTGAGTGTATGTTTGTGCAGTGGTCTGTTCCTCCATCCATGCGCGTCGCCGCCGCCGCCCTGATGGCGCGCTCCGCGCGCCAGGGAGGAAGGGGGTCCCAGCGCAGATCCAAGAAGTCCGCGCGGACCTCCGTAAGATTGTGCTTGTGCAGTGGTTCGTTCCTCCATCCGTGCGCCTCGCCGCCGCCGCCCTGATGGCCAGCCGGCCGCGGCGGCGGCTGCGCGCGGGAGCCGCCGGAAGGCGCCGCGCATCAGCTCTGCATTGAATCCCGAAGTGCGCGTGCCCGTGCCAGAATCAAGGGGGCGATGCCCCTTCATCCTCCTCTTCCTCCTCCTCCTCCTCCTCCTCTTCCTCCTCCTTTTCCTACGTTTGCAAGGCTCTGGGCGACGGAGCTCGCAACGTTTGCCATCCTCCTCTTTCTCCTCTTCCGGAGAAGCCAGAGGATACCGATACCGCTACTGCCCGGATCACTCGAGGGGTGGGCCCTGACCAAAAACTCGAGGCGAGCCCAGCCTTGTCGACGAGGGCCTCCCAAGAGGCCCAAAAAGGCGAACACGAGGCAAGGGAAGTGGCATCGGTGCCTTCTCCTCCTCCTCCTCCTCCTCCCCCTCCTCCTCCTCCTCCTCCTCCCCCTCCCCCTCCCCCTCCTCCCCCTCCTCCTCCTCCTCTTTCCCTGCCTCCTGCCCCCCATCCGCTCCCCCTTCGCAGGAGCAGAAGGCCTCCGCGGGGCGAGGGCGGGGGCCGCTGGGCGGGCGCGCCCACCGCCCCTCGCAAGCGCGGTTCACCGCCATGGCGGCGTGGTGCTGGTCGGCCGTCACGGGGGCGCCGCCGGCCTGCCGCGGGCTTTGCCGCCGCCGCCGCCGTGGTCGTTGCGGTGGTGGCCAACGTCGTCATCGTCGTCGTCGCCGTCGTCGTCGTCGCCGTCGTGGTCGTCGTCGTCGTCGTGGTCGTCGTCGTCGTCGACTCGTCGTCGTCGCCGCCGCCGCCGCCGTCGTGAGCGACGGCGTCAAAGTCGTCGCGGTCCTCTCTCCTAGCACTCCCGCTCGTCCTCCGCTCCCCCCGCTCTCCCTCACTTCCTCCCTCCCTACCGCCTTCTCCACCTCCACCTCCTCCTTCTCCTCCTCCTCCTTCTCCTCCTCTTCCCCCGGGAAGGCGAAAAGGTACTGATACCGCTACTTCCTGGGCTCCTGGAGATCGGTCTGACTAGGATTCGCAGGCGTTCTCAACCATGGCGACGAAGGAAGGGTAGCGGTATCGGTACCATGTCCTCCTCCTGCTTCCCCCCCTCCTCCCACTCCTCCTCCTCCTCCTCCTCCTCCTCCTCCTCCTCCTCCTCCTCCTCCACCTCCTCCTTTTCCTGCTGCTCTTGCTGCTCCTCCTCCTGCTCCTGCTCCTGCGACGTCGCTGCCAGCGGGGAGGCGCTGGGGGATCCGGCACCGAGGAGGAGGATGAGGACCGAAGGCAGCAGGACCGAGGAGGAGGAGGAGGAGGAGGAGGAGGAGGAGGAGGAGGAAGACCGAGGAGGAGGAGGAGGAGGAGGAGGACCGAGGACCGAGGAGAGGAGGCCGTCCCTAGCGCGCTCTCAAGGATGACCCCGATCCCCCAACGGTGATGACCTGCGCGCGGCAGCCGTGTTCGAATGCCGCGCGCAGGTCACCACTGCTGGGGGGTCGAGGTCGGCCATGGGGGGCGCCAGGGGCGGCTTCCTCAGCCCAGCGGTTGTGGTTGTCTCTTCTTGGCCCATCACTGACTACCCACCAAACTACGCCAACCCAACCCGAAGTCGTCGTTGGGTGGACCTTTCGATCTCCAAGGGGGGACGTTCTAGAGCATCGGCATCGAGAAAATACAATGGGACCCGTGCACGTCGGTCGGGAGATGCAGGTAAAAACATGAAGTAGGAAGGCGGACGAAGTAGGTTGGGTCCAGGCCCTCCACGACAGCAACAACACATAGCAACCGCACATCGATTCTTGAAGTAGAAAGGCGCTAGAAATAGATGATGATCTGGGAATTCAGCAATTCCTACTTTCAACGACCGGTGAATACAGCCCCCAGCCCGAGATGTGGGGAAACCTGGAACCTTCGGGTTGGGTTGGGGTGGCTTGGCAGGCAGTGAGCTGCCCGGGGCTGACTTTGACGGCCTCGGCGCACAATTTTCTTTCGGGCGGCGCGATACACATGAAGAGCATACCGCGGGCAGCTGGCTCCACCTGGGCGCGAATTCTCATGCGGGGGGCGATGGATTGGGGAGAGGGAGCAAGGAGGAGGATGATGATGAGGAGGAGGAGAAGGAGGAGGGAGGAGGAGGAGGAGGGAGGAGGAGGAGGAAGGGGAGGATCAGGAGGAGGAGGAGGAGGAAGGGGAGGAGGAGGAGGAGGAGGAGGAGGGAGGGGAGGAGGAGTGGGAGAAGGAGGAGGAGGGAGGAGAAGGAGGAGGAGGGGAGGAAGGGGAGGAGGAGGAAGATGAGGAGGACCAGTGTAAACCCAAGAGTCATGAATGAAGTAAACCCTTCCTCCAAACTCCCTCTTCATAGGCCCCTACAACGGTTCATGTTCATTGATAAAGCTGCCTCGTTGGACGCCAACCTTTTGAAGACCCTGAAGCATGCCAAGGCATTGTTCTCAGGATTTCAACGCTACGGATCAACCTGACTGTTGCGTTTTGACGATCCTGAATCGTGCGAAAACGCTATTCCTACGACTTCAACACACGGAATCAACGTACTAGCAACACCAGTATAATCCAAAATCCTTCCAAAACGCCATTTCTGGTACGTTGATGATAAGAATATGTGAAACTCTTGAAAATGGTGTAAACGAATATGCACGGCGCTACGGCGAGAACCACATATAGAAAGGGAACCGCCCTCAATCCGTGAAACTCTTGCAAATTTCCAAAGCGAATGTGCGCCGCGCGAAGGCGAGAGCCACATCACAAAAAAACGCCCTCAATCCGAAGAGCACTCGCATTTGTTTAAAAGCGAATGTGCGCAGCGCCAAAACGAGAACCCCATGTTGAAAACGACTCGCCCTCAAGTCGTGAAACTCTTGCAATGCTTTAAAACGAATGTGTGCCGCGCTAAGGCGAGAGCCACATTTTGAAAACCACCCGCCCTCCATCTGTGAAACTGTTGCCAATGTTAAAGCTTCAGAGTCATAAGTGGTGAGGAAGTGTCCGGCCCGCCCAAAAAACTGGACTCGGGGTGCGACAGGGAAAAATTATGTATAAGGAAAAGGAATGGAGGAGGAGGAGGAGAAGGAGGAGGAGGAGGAGGAGGAGGAGGAGGTGGGAGAAAGGTGCCCTTTTCGGGCCCTTTAGGGCCCCAATCTGGGCCCTCTGGGGCCCCTTTGGGGGCCCTAAAAGACCCCCTTTTCAGCAACCCTCGCTGCCACCTCCATGTACAGTCGGCCCGTATCATGAGGATGCGTGACAAGGATGCAAGGGCCTTGGAAGGCCTTTTCAAGGCTTTTCGAGCGGGGCGCGGGCAACGAAAATGGCCAAAGTATGGGCCGATGAGGCAAGGATGCAAGGGTACCCTGGGATACGTTGCCCACGCTTACAATGTGGGGCGGGTCGACTGTATCGCCCCCCCCCCCCCCGAAACTATGGCCGCTAATTCCACAGCGCGTTCGTAGAGACCTCCTAGATGGGGTCGGAAAATATAGGGTCGGAGGGTCGCGCCGCATCACCGATACATCGTCAATGCATCGGCGATGCATCAACGATGCATCCGCGAGGCGTCGGCGACGTATCGTCGACGTCGGCAGTGCATCGGCGACGCCGACGTGAAGCAGATCGGGCTGCACATCGAGCCGCATCGGCGGTGCATCGGCGACGCGGCGCGATCCTTCGACCCCATCTGCTCCGACCCCATCTGGGAGGCCTAGATGCCGTCATCCCCAAGATCAGGTCGGGCATGTCCCCCTACAGGCGGATTTTGGAAGAAAAAGGAAACATTGTCAAAACATACCCAACAAGTGTCAAAAGGTAGTAACACAAACCGTCCCCTGACAATTTGCCCCCACATGTTTCGTGGGGTTGTGGTTTTCTTCCCTGCCGCGTCGCACCCGTGTCTCACACCCGCACACACCTCCCTCCCCCGCAAAGCGTGGCAGACGTGACATACATACATACATACATACACAGGCACACCGACACAGACACATACACACAGACACACAAGCACACAGACACAAACACACACACACACAGACACACAGACACTCCATCACCCACGCGCAACACCTGCACGGCACGTGCATGAGACACGCGTCGCGCACTCCACAACACAGCGCAGCGCAGAACAACACAGCGCTGCTCAGCACAGCTCAGCTCAGCTCCGTCGCGCGCTCCCAAAGCGCGGCAGGCGTGGCAGTTCCTCGACACCATGGGGGTGCGCAGGGGGTGCGGTCTCTATCCGTCGCACGCTCGCAAAGCGCGGCAGGCGTGGCATTTCTTCGACACCAGGGGGGTGCGCGGGGGGTGCGGTCTCTATCCGTCGCACGCTCGCAAAGCGCGGCAGGCGTGGCATTTCCTCGACACCAGGGGGGTGCGCAGGGGGTGCGGTCTCTATCGCTCGCAAAGCGCGGCAGGCGTGGCATTTCCTCGACACCAGAGGGGGTGCGCAGGGGGTGCGGTCTCTATCCGTCGCACGCTCGCAAAGCGCGGCAGGCGTGGCATTTCCTCCACACGCGGCATGGGAGGGTGCGCAGGGGGTGCGGTCTCTATCCGTCGCACGCTCGCAAAGCGCGGCAGGCGTGGCATTTCCTCGACACCAGGAGGGTGCGCAGGGGGTGCGGTCTCTATCCGTCGCACGCTCGCAAGGCGCGGCAGGCGTGGCATTTCCTCGACACCAGAGGGTGCGCAGGGGGTGCGGTCTCTATCCGTCGCACGCTCGCAAAGCGCGGCAAGCGTGGCATTTCCTTGACTTCAGGGGGGTGCGCAGGGGGTGTGGTCTCTATCCGTCGCACGCTCCCAAAGCGCGGCACGCGTGGCATTTCCTCTGCACGAGAGGGGGTGCGCAGGGGGTGCGGCCTCTATCCGCCGCACGCTCGCAAAGCGCGGCAGGCGTGGTAGTTCATCTACAAGAAAGGGGGTGCCCACGGGGGGGCGGTCTGTATCCGTCGCACGCTCGCAAAGCGGAGCAGGCGTGGCATTTCCTCCACACAAGATAAGCAGACACATAAGGCTTAAATGAAGTATGTGGGGGTCCTCGGTAGCGCAATTACTATTCGTACTAGTTTGAATACTCGTCCTGTAGAGGGGAGACCTGGAAATCAGCACCTCCGAGGGGCCGATCCTCGAGGGCCCCCCCCGGGGGGCCCTCGAGGAGCGGCCCGCGGCAGAAGCCCAGGGGGGGGCCCCGGGGCGGGGCCGGCCGCCCAGCGCCGAGCCCAGGAGAGAGCCGCGCGGGCCTCCGAAGGTGTCCAGTCGTCGTACGTCGTCGTCGTCGTCGTCGTCGTCGTCGTAGGGGAGATCGTCGCAAACAAGGCAGTCGTCGTCGTCGTCGTCGTCGTCGTCGTCGTCGTCGCCGTCGTAAGGGAGATCGTCACAAACAAGGTAGTCGTCGTCGGCGTCGTCGTCGTCGGCGCAAGGGAGATCGGGCAAACAAGGCAGTATGCGTTGCAGTGGGGGCCAGTCCACAAGAAACCTTCCACCAGAAACCCAACACTGAGGCCCCAGGGAGTCCACTGTTTTTTGTTGGTGTGGGCACGTGACGCGTTCTATCGCGAAGCCATCCAAGCCCAAGAAACCCATGGCACCCTGGAGGCAAGCAGGGTGGTCCTTGGCATAGGCTCCCACTGTACAGTAGGAGCTCGACCAAAAGAAA